TATGTGATGTAATTAGAACAGTAAGGCATACTTAAATTGGTGATTAAGTTTTAATTGTAAGCTCTTTGGCATAGGAACTGTTATATACACTTTGTGAAGTGCCTAGCACAAAGGACCCCTCCCCTATTTGACCTGAGGATACTGTTATATAAATATTAAATAATAATGCCACTAATAAGGAAAAGTAAGTTGAGAGCTGCAGTCAAGGGTGAAGGGAGATTTTTTGATAGAATGGGCCCTAGTAGCATTTAGGGCTGTCAATTAATTGCAGTTGATGCATGTGATTAATGCAGAACAAATTAACTAGACTTTTAAAATAGTCACAATCAGTTTTAATTGCACTGTTAATAATAGAATACCAATGTACATTTATTATAAATATTTTGGATGTTTTTCTACATTTTCAATATATTGATTTCAATTACATCACAGAATACAAAGTTTACAATGCTAACCTATTTTTATTTTTGATTAAAAATATTTGCACTGTAAAAAAGATAAAAGAAATTGTATTTTTAAATCCACCTCATACAAGTCCACGCAGTCCTACTTCTTGTTCAGCCAGTCGCTAAGACAAACAAGTTTGTTTACATTTACAGGAGATAATGCTGCCCCCTTCTTATTTGCAATGTCATCTGAAAGTGAGAACAGGGGTTCGCATGGCACTGTTGTAGCTGGCATTGCAAGTTATTACTTGCCAGAGATGCTAAACATTCATATGCCCCTTCATGCTTCAACTTGTAGGCTCTAAAGCGTTACAATATTTTGTTTTTGACTGCAGTTATGTAAAAAAAAAAATCTACATTTGTAAATTGCACTTGCACCAGACACTATATAAGATGAATTGAAAAATACTAGTTTTCAATCTTTTTAGTGTAAATATTTGTAATCAAAATATAAAGTGAGCACTGCATACTTTGTATTGTAGTTGAAACCAATATATCTGAAAATGTCAAAAAATCCAAAATATTTATAATAAATGTAAATTGGTATTCTATTAACAATGCAATTAAAACTATATTTAATCACCACTATATTTTTTAATCTCATGGTTAATTGAGATTTTTTTAAATCGTTTGCCAGCCCTATTAGGATATAATTGAATAGGATACAGTTTGAGTTTGTGGAGTTTCTCCTGAATTCTTCAGTAAAGAGTGCTTTGTTTAACTATTTACAATTACTATAGTTCATAGTCTGTAGCAAGTGTGCCCTCTCCCCAACACACCTGGCATGAAGAAACAGTGCCAAATGGCAGCTAGTCTCAACAGGGTGAGGTGGCTCATTTCAGTAGCACAAACCTCATAACTGAAGGATTCCAGAAGGAGAAGCTGGTCAGAGTGTACTTGACACTGGAGTCTCAAACTATCCCCGTCTTTTGTGGACAAGAGCTCTCCCTCCACCCCAGCATAATGGCCCATTGCAGACTCTTCAAAACACTAGAAAATAAGTTCTCCTCACGTGATATCTACTTAGGAACAAATAATGGAAGTGTAATGTAGAAACAATATGGCAATGTCCAGGTCCAAACTGGGAAATGAGTGAGGCTGACCATGAAGGATGTCATGGGCGTGCTAACTAGACTTGCCTGAGCAAGAAGTGGTTTTACTATGTAACCCTCACTGAGTAAGAAATAATTTTTTTTCACCACAAAGGCAGAGGCTCACTCTTTCTCTATACCAGACACAAAGATTAAGCTCTGGGAGCCATGTTATGACTCAATGGGAAACAGCAGTTAATAGAAACATAGTCAAAACATATGCAAGAAAGAGAGTCTGGACTTATGACAAAATTGCAGTCAGCCCTCACACAGATGACCAACATCTAACAAATGACAGGTTTCAGAGGAACAGCCGTGTTAGTCTGTATTCGCAAAAAGAAAAGGAGTACTTGTGGCACCTTAGAGACTAACCAATTTATTTGAGCATGAGCTTTCGTGAGCTACAGCTCACTTCATCAGATGAAAGCTCACGAAAGCTCACGCTCAAATAAATTGGTTAGTCTCTAAGGTGCCACAAGTACTCCTTTTCTTTTTATCTAACAAATGGTTTACACAATTCTCTGTTAAACTATTTGAATTTTATTCAGGTGAGGGGCACAGAGCACCCCTTTTGGGGATGCATCCAAGATGCATTTATTTCATTTTTTTCCCTTCTTTCTGCCACATGTTCAACTGCTGAAGCTGTAAGTGAGGGGAAAAGGAGATAACCAGATCTGCACCTTCATGATGCATCAACTGGTATCTAATTTTAAACTCTAGTGACCTAGAGATGAAAAACTATATATTCGCTTTGCAAGCTGAAGCCACCTTAACCAGTTTTTACCTTTTTGATATAAAAAGGTATCAGACTGTATCAGATACAATTTAACATTAAAAACTATAAACCACATTGTCCTCATGGAAAAATACTCCTAAAACCAAGAGCTTTTAATTCTTAATCATCAATAGGATGTGCTTTAGAGACAATATTGATTTTTATTTTCTACTGTATTTTGTCTGACCTACAATGATCATCTAAATGAATAGAAGTACAAATAACCCCAGGATGCATGAGTTTTCTTATGGCTAGGCTTATTCCTGTCACTTTCTTTGATGTTCTGGTAAATTTGTAATTAACATTTAAAAAGTATAACTGTTGATATGTATGGATATGCATAGAGAGAAAGTATGTATAAAACTAGAGGTACCACATTCCTCCCCTCCCCCACAATAGTTTTTAGATCAGTTCACAAAGCCTGAGGTAACTGCTGATTGGTAGTGAACATTTCTGTGCTTCTGCTTACATAAGCACTGTTTGCAAAAATTGGGTTTGTCCTTCAGATCATCCAAAAGGTCTATATTTCTTCCACAAATCAGAGTTGTTTACTAATTAGCATAGATTTGGCTACTCTTCATATCTCCTCTTTCTGTGAAAAAGAGCCACAATAAAGAAAGCAGGAAGCACTTGTATACTTTGCAATCATTAAATGCATAAATTCTCAAAGAAAATTACAGAACAGACAGTGTGCAAGTTATTTAGAAATTTGGACCAGTAACTGGACAAAGTCAAGTCACCAAAATGTAAAGAGTCACATCTTTACCAATAGAAAATAATTAAAGCATAGAGGTCTCAGCATATGGGTAAGTCACTATTCTTAAACAAGGAGAAAGTGGCAAATGAAATAGTATCAATTCGAGATGGGGAGGAACAGGTGGACTTCACAACCTACAATGAAATTTTTTCCCTCCAGGAGAAAGGAGGAAGACAACAAGTTGGGGGCACTTTCACAGTGGCTGTTGTAGAGGTAGGTAGCTGGGAACCCGGACAATCAGTGTACATCAGCTGCAGCTGTGTTAACTGCTCATCCTCAATAGTTTAGGGAAATTCAGAGCAAAGGGAAATCCTAAATCAGATAAGTCCACATTACGATCAAGATCAAGTTACAATGAAAACCATTATCTATTTAAGCATGTTTTAACTGGTAATGGCAGAAGCACAAAACTGCTTTTCCTCAGACAGATGTAGCATCATGTGTTTTGCAAGACTGCATGGAATGCACTGTGTAATCCACTTTTTGCCCAATCATTGTTCTAGACTCTAGACTTCCATTAAAAGTGTATGTAACCCTCAGGTTGTAAAAATAACTTTGAAATATAAATCAAATTTAATTTGAAGTGTTGTCTTCCTCATTCTACAAACAAACCAATAGCTCTGACAAGTGTCCCCTTTGTCTCACTAGGATATCAAGTATGGATCATAATGGCAATTAAGATGTCAACAACTCTTTCAGTGCTGATAATTTTAGCAGAAACATCTAGAGAATGTTCCTGTTCCACAACCACAAACTAGCTTCCATGCCTCCTCAGATGTGAAAACCAAGCTGCCAAAACATCCAACTTCTAGCAATGTGCTGCATTATCAATATACAACTGTGCAGCACACTGAAAACTGCACAATGTAAAATAAAGTTTAATATAAAGATGAATACAACCAGTACAGCAGCATCTTCATGTTCATATTTCATTGGCACATAAAACCTGCAATGCTGGATCAGACCAGTCGTCCATCAAGTTTTATACCGTCTCTTAACAGTGGCCACTTCTGAGTACTTCAGAAGAAGATGCAAGAAACCCTGAAGAAGGCAGTTATGAAAAACTTGCCCACAATAGTAAAGTTGTCATTCCTGTAAAAATCTGTTTTTTTTCCAAATGAATGGAGCTGCCACTGAATTTCCAGTCTGTTGAAGCAGAATGTCACAGAATCCAGAGACATTGCAGCAGCCTGGACTTAAGGTCTGTGTCCAAGTACCTGAAGCTTTGACTATAGGTGACAAAGATCAAGAATCATCACACTTGCTACTCAACTGTAAAAATATCACACCACAATTTTTTCTCTAAAAGAACTCTTTATTGTGGTGATCAACATTTTTCTCTTTGTTTTGAGGTTAGAAAGCTGGTATTGGAAGAAGTAATTTCTTCCAAATGAGTATTACTGATTCATGTCACAAAAGTTCAAAACAAAAGCTGCAAGAAGTATTCCAAAGCAATCAGGATCCCTTGATGTTTATTTAATTTAACAGTATAAAAAGCAATAGAAAATAGAAAAGCTTACATATGATTTTTAAAAGGTCATATTTTAAATAACTATATTTCATTTCTGAGATAGGATAACCATAAAAATGATGGTCTAATGCTTTAAAAATTCAAGTCTGTACACAACCATTATTTAAAAAAGCAACATTTATGGAGTCCTTTTGAAGTTATAAAACTGTAATTTTTCTTTTTTTAAAAGTTGTCTTCCTGATGATTTAAGTGTTTCTTTTGTGGGTGGTGCAGTTTAGTTTGCTGGTGAAAGAAAGATGTTGAAAAATACAGCAAACACCAGAAAGACTAAAAAAGCAACAATGGAGATCCAAAATCTTGGATCTTTTATAAAGTTCTTATCAAAACAGCTGAAAATGACATAACCTATTGACATCCCAGCTAGGCCACCAGCAATGTGAGCCACAAAGGACACCTTAAGAGAAAAAGAAGTAAACTGTTAAGTTACATTTCAAGACTGAGGAATACCAGCACTTCTGTAACATTATTCATCCAAGGATTTGAAAGCACTTATAACTATTACTTTAGCTTTAACGCATGCCTATGAGATAGGTAAAGAATACATAGGGATCATTAGTATTTAAATGTAGCTACTCTGATGGAAGGCAGTAGCTGTTTAGTAGTGTACAGCTACATATCAAATTAAAACTGCAGGCATGAATCTAGGGAGGTAGAATTAAATTATTCAGAACTGGGAATTTGGCTAGAATGTGGATATACTTTTATGAAGAGAGTCATGACATCTTTGATCACAGTTTTATGCCTCATCCAAAATATGGCATGTCCCTAATGCCATGCTGGGACATTCCTTCAGAACTGACTCCAAGGGAACATGGTTCCCTACTGATTCACTAAAAGTCAGTGTGCACAGGATATAGGAACTCCCTGTCTGTTTTTCAGGTTCCTACCTTCTAGGCTCCCTCCTTGCTCCTGGCTATTTTTCTCCATGCCTGTGCTCAAGATGCATGCCTAGGCACATCATAATTTCCTTCCTGCTTTATACCATGTGCCCCTATGGTATAACGGAACAGTATTCCTGACCTGGTTTACCACGCCTTCAACCACTATTCCACCACAAGCCTTCCTCCCCACACCATTCTTCATAAAAATGTATTTATGGGGACTGTGCTATTTATTACAATTTAAATAGTTCAAGAGCAGTGCCCTTGTCTGCCCTTTGTTCTGAAAGATAAGTGTGCTGTCCATGCTCAAGTACATAGTAAATCTTAAACACAACTATACTTCCTTTAGGATGTTCATTGTGATTAAACAATAAACAGCAAGAGATAAAAGTCTTGCTTTACTTACTCTGAGTTTAAAATAGACCCGTAGTTATCTTAATCAGTAGTAAGTTACCTGCATGAATTACTACACAAGTACATTGGCAGTATAGTGAAGAAATCTACATGCAATGCTGTATTCCATAAAGATAATATTTTATTAAATATGTAGCCTGTTTCATGGCTGGATACAGCTTCTACAAGGAAAGTCGTCTTTAAATTTACCAAAAATGTTGGTCTCAGACAGAGGTAACGGCTTTTTTCAATGTATATAGATATTATAGTAAGCACCCATCCCAGCTCTGCCTATACATTATTTAAGTTATTTAACAAATTTAAGTTAAGTTAACAAATGTATCTTCAACTTTTATAAGCCAAGTAGCTTGGAGGAAGAATTTTATCAGAAAAATGTGAATGATAATTGGTAATCATCAAAGGACACCTAACTAGATGCCTAACAAGTCACAATCCCACAGTTGAGAAAGAAGGCTCCTGATTTAGAGGGGAAGTGAAGGCAGCTATAAAAAAAGTAACAAATGGAAGAAATGCGAAGTTGATAGTAATGAATATAAATCAGAAGTTAGGAACTGTAGAAAATTAAGAAGGGAAGTAAAGGGACACAGAGAGAACTCTATGGCTCGCACAATTAAGGACAGTAAGAAGGATTTTTTAAAATATATTATGAACAAAAAAATCCTGATAATGGTATTGGTCCACTACTAGATGGAAATGGTAGAATTAATAATACCTTAGAGACTAACAAATTATTTGAGCATAAGCTTTCATGAGCTACAGCTCACTTCATCAGATGCATGCATTTGTTAGTCTCTAAGGTGCCACAAGTACTCCTTTTCTTTTTGCGGATACAGACTAACATGGCTGCTACTCTGAAACCTTTCCATTCTATTAGTATCTCTGGAAATGTTAAACAGAAGCTACTAACATTAGACATTTTAAAATCAGCAGGTCCAGATAACTTGCATCCAAGAGATTTAACAAAGCCATCTGAGGAGCTCCTTAGACTGCTGATGTTGATTTTCAATAAGTCTTGGAGCACCAAGGAAGTTCCAGAAGACTGGAAGAAAGGTAATGTTGTGCCGATTTTTAAAAAGAGTAAACAGGGTAACTTGCGTAATTATAGGCTGATATCGATCAGACTGATATCCATCCTGGTCAAGACAATGGAATGGCTGACACAGGACTCAATTAATAAAGAATTAAAGGAGAGTAATGTAATGAATGAAAATCAACATGGGTTTATAGAAAATAGATCCTGACAAATTAATTTAATATTTTTTTATGAGATTACAAGTTTGGTTGATAAAGGCAATAGTGTTGACCTACTATGCACAAGCTTCTGGAAGGCATTTGACTTGGTACCGCACGACATTTTGATTAAAAACGACGATGATATAGAATTAACATGGCATACATTCAAGGGACTAAAAATTGGCTCAAAATTTAGTTGTAAAGGAATCATCATTAAGCGGGTCTGTTTCCAGTGGGGTCCCTCAGGGATCACTGCTTGGTCCTACACGATTTAGGATTTTTTTCAATGACCTGGGAGAAAATACAAAGTCACTGATAAAGTCTGCAGATGACACAAAAGTTGGAGAAGCTGTAAATAATGAAGAGGACAGGTCACCAATTCAGAGCAACCTGAATCACTTGGTAAACTGGGCAGAAGCAAACAATATGGGTTTTAATATGGGTAAATGTAAACGTACATGTAGGAACAAAGAATGTAGGCCATACTTATAGGATGGAGGACTATCCTGGGAAGCAGTGATACTGAAAAAGATTTGGGTGTCATGGTGGATAATCAGCTAAACATGAGCTCCCAGTGTGATGCTGTGGCCAAAAGAGCTAATGTGATCCAGGGAAATCTCAAGCAGAATTAGAGAGGTTATTTTACTTCTGTATTTGGCATTGGTGCAAGCATTGCTGGAATATCATCCAGTTCTGGTGTCCACAATTTGAGAAGGATGTTGATAAACTGGAGAGGGTTTAGAGAAGAGCCACGAGAATGATTAAGGATTAGAAAACATACTTTATAGTGATCGACAGATAGACTGAAGGAGCTCAATCTTAACAAAGAGAAGGTTAAGGGGTGACTTGCTTACACTCTAAATATCTACATGGGGAACAAATATTTAATAATGGGCTCTTCAATCTAACAGAAAAAGGTATGACACAATTCAATGGCTGGAAGTTGAAGCTAGACAAATTCAGACTGGAAATAAGGTGTAAATTTTGACATAGTAGGTAATTAACCATTGCGACAATTTACAAAATAGTTATGGTGGATTCTCCATTACTAAAAATATTTAAATCAAGATTGGATGTTTTTTCTAGCTATTATTCTGGGGAAGTTCTCTTGCCTGCGTTATACAAGAGCTCAGACTATGTGACCACAATGGTCCCTTCTGGCTTAGAATTTATCACTCTATGAAAAAAAACAGTTTACTTTCTCTCATAAGAACATAAGAATGGCTATACTGGGTCAGACCAATGGTTCATCTAGCCCAGTATCCTGTCTTCTGACAGTGGCCACTACCAGATACTTCAGAGGGAATGAACAAGGCACTTATTGAGTAATCTATCCTATCGTCCAGTCCCATCTTCTGGCAGTAAGAGGGTTAGGGATACCCAGAGCATGGGGTTGAGTCCCTGACCATCTTGACTAAAAGCCATTGTTGGACCTATCCTAAATGAATTTACCTAATTCTTCTTTGAACCCAGTTATAATTTTGGCCTTCACAACATCCACCAGCAGCAAGTTCCACAAGTTGATTGCATGTTGTATGAAGAAGTATTTCCTTATATTTATTTTAAAGCTGCTGCCTATTAATTTCATTGGGTGAGCCCTGGTTCTTATGTTACGTGAAGGGATAAAAAACAACACTTTCCTATTCACTTTCTCCACACCATTCATGATTGTATAGACCTTTATGATATCCCCTCTTAAGTCATCTCTCTTCTAAACTGAACAATCCCAGTCTTTTCTCTCTCTCCTTGTGTGAAAGCTATTCCATATCCATAATCATATTTGTTGTCCTTCTCTGTACCTTTTCCATTTCTAATATACATTTTTGAGATGGGGCAACCAGAACATCATGCAGTATTCAAGGTCTGGGCATACTATGGATTTATATAATGTCATTATGATATTTTCCATCTTATTATCTCTCCCTTTCCTAATGGTTCCTAACATTCTGTTAGCTTTTTTGACTGCCACTGCATATTGAGCAGATGTTTACACAGAACTATCCACGATGACTCCAAGATTGGTTTTGTGAAGGTAATAACTAATTTAGACCCCATCATTTTGTATGTATAGTTGGGATTATGGGCCATTTTGTTTCTTTGTGCAACAGGAATCACAATCTTTCACTATTTGAAACACTATTTTTTCTACTAAATTCCAATACTTAATACTGAGGTATTATCTAAGGACTAGTAGAGCATTAGTTATAATTTATCCAAGCTATTTTAGTGAAGACTACACTTACTTGAGGCCCATTCACAGGAGCTATAAATCTTCTGTACAGAGCAAATCCCATATCTGTTCCAACTAAAAAAACACAATCATCGTAAGATTGTTCATTCAAATTGACAAGACATTTCAGAAACAAATCCAAATAATGGGTGTAAGTAACAACATGGTATGTCTTCTAGTGGCATCTACAAAGCTAACTACAAAGAGATCATCTCACCCACAACTGAAGCAGTCTCTTTTGGAGTAAAATGCAGCAACTAGTAAAATAAGAATCTGGCCAAATTCTACTCTCAGCCACAGGATTCCAACTCCTATTGACTTCAGTATCACCCTTCTAACAGAGCAAAATTTAGCTAGAGTTTTATCAAGCACCATACGTAGCTTGTGGCACTACACAGGTAATTAGTAGTATTTAAAAACACAAAGAAACACTAAATAGTTTAAGGCTCAGATCAGTTTACATTATAATTTAACCTAACCCCAATTTACATTTACTTTGTGGTTCTAGAAAACTGAATAATATGCAACTGATACCTCCCTGACTATTAGTCTTTTGGACTCCAAATGGGCATTCATTTTTGTACAGTTTAATACTGTGTGTCTTGTATAGTTTTTATTATCACATATACACTAGGTAGGATTAAAATTACCTATAATCCCGATGAGGAGCAATCTGAAGACTCCAAACAAAGGAATCATTTCTCTGAAGTTCTTGGAGAGAAAAAAAGAAACAATTAAGCTATATAATTATACACATGGACTTGTACATGCATACACATATATACATACATACATACACACACACACCCACACACACCACAGTCCACTTAGGTATATTAATATACACTAAGTAACATCCTACATTTCTATAGCGCCTTTCAAACAATCACAAAGCATTTGACTAAGGAGAGTCAGTATCATTCTCCCCATTTTACAGATGAGGAAACTGAGGCACAGAAAGGGAAAGTGGCATGCCCAAACTCCAACAACAAGCAGCTTAATCCACTAGACCACTGCTATTATCACATCTTTCACATTCCTCCTTATTTTATAATGAAAACACATGTCCTTTTGTATGCTTTTTGGTGATAAAAATTACTAAAAAAGAAGATGCAATCTGTGTACTGTCAGCCCTTTGAGAATGATTATCCAGCAAAACAATGTTTTTGTCTTACACAAAGGATACCAATTTTCTTTAGCGCCTCTCATGCCTTTGGTGGTGGAGACTCAATGCTATTTGCTGAACCAGGCCCCATCATTGTTTACTTGAAAACTCTAGTGATATGAAGTCTTTAATGTGTCATTTATAATTCATACTGCCTCTGATCACACAGAAAGGAAAGGTCTGACTGCTGACTGAACTACTTAAGAGAAGATTTGCTGAAGAACTGATGTTTCCATGAACTAATGTTTAGCAATGTTTAGAATTAAAAGAGTAGGACCCACCTTTGGTGACTGATTAAATTAAATCATTTTTTAAAAAGCCACCCAGTGTACAGTCAGCCTCTCTGACACTAGAGATCACTGAAGCCAAGACCTTAATTAGCAAACAAAAATATGTTTAGTTGCAGTTAAGATTATGTAGCATGACACTTCATCTGAAATCTTAAAAGAAAGAAAGTAACAAGTTACTGGGAGAGACCTATACACTCCTTTCCACCTTTGTTTTCCCTAAAACTTTAGTGATAATGCTCACCAATACTCCATACGGTTTTCACTTCCATCGCCCACAGACACCAAAAATCAGTATGTACCCCAGCTTCATAAAACTTGCATTCCAATGCAAAACCTTAACAGTGATCTCATGTGCTTTTACATCATTTATACTGAAAGACCAGAACATCTGATTGTCACACATTCCAAGCATTTGGGAAGTTATTCTGGCTAAACAATGCTGAGGTCACCAAGATTTTACGTTAGACTGCAAGTTTGATTAAGCTGGGGTTTGTATTGCTTTTTGGTATGTGTGGGAGATAGACATAAAAGATTCACAAAATAAAGGTTTAAAGTTCCTGTTAAGCTGAACTACTGCATCCAAAATGAGATCAGTACAATGAGACATTTACATGAATATATAGCCAATTTTTAAAGAGATATACAAACCCTCATGCTTCAGGGCATCAGTCAAGTTCTAACTGAAGCCCTAGAGTTTAGGGGGGTTTTTTGGTTTTGTTTTGTTTGCAGCTTATTCCATAATTGTGGGGTTTCCTATACTTCTAAAGCATCCGATTTTGGCCACTAGCTGAGACAGAATACTGCACTACATGGTATCACAAATGGCAGTTTCTATAGTGCAATGTCACTTTGGCTGAAAATGATGTCAACTGCTATATTCACTTTTTCCTCTTTTAATAGCACAAAAAGCATCTATAAAGCTTTGATTTCTCAAGGACAGACATGGTTTGTTCAGCATATATGTATGTGGGAGTTACATTTTCCTTAATTATTCCTCTTTGCCAAAAAAAATTGAACATCTTATTTACACAAATAAGATTTACCCAAAAGTGAACAAGGATCCACAAAGAATCTGGTTTTTTTTCTGTGCATTTCTAATTGTTTCCTTACCACTAAAACATTCATAAAGTATCCTCCAATGAGAGCATAGACTCCTCCTGAAGCCCCTACGAGAGCCTGGAGGGGATCACAGACTGAGCTAGCCAAGGAACCTGAAAAGACAGAAATGTCCTTAGAACTAGAGTCCTGATGGCAACTTTAAGAAGACATTTTCTGTAAACACCTGAGAGGAGTAGAGTGGAACATAGGGTTGTTTTCTAGTATGTTATTACGGTAAAAGGTTGGAGTCCAAACATTCTCTGCACCAAGAGAACTCGTTATGTTACACAATCCAGTATACTAACAACTTTGATTGCCCTGTTCAGGAAAGGGGATGTGGCAATAATATACATTGATTTTCTGATACAGACAGTTCTTCATTTAAACTTACCCATTTCCCATTACACACTGACCTCCAATCACTCCTGCGAGATACACCAGACTAACCCGATGCCCTTTATGAACCATTTCTAAGGGGATCCCCAAAATAAGTTGCAGAAAGAGATTTCCTAAAATGTGTTGAATGCTGCAAGGAAAAACATGTTGATATTTAAATATCAAAACTGTAATTAACACTTAAAGTTTTCTCAAACTATAGCGAATACATAATAAAATGGCATGCTAGCATCCTGGGGGCTTTATTTCTACAGCCAAAATAACTTTTTTAAAAGTCAGTAAGACAAAATAAAAGCTGTTATAATTATATACTCAAATAACTGAAAATAAGTAAGCCTTACTTTTTAGGGGGTGGAGTCTGGGCTATGCATTTGGATCAGGAAGGCCAGAGTCTGCATATAAGTCAGAGTAAGGCACTCTGGTGGAAGGGCAGAACTGGACCACAGGTTATGAAGAACAGGTCTCAAAAAAAAAAAAAAAAAAAAAAAAAGTAAAACATGGCCATAATGGGTCAGATCCATGGTCCATTTAGCCCAGTATCCTTATGACAGGCCAGTGCCAGATGCACCAGAGGAAATGAACAGAACAGAGCAATTATTGAGTGATCCATCCCCCGTCATGCAGCCCCAGCTTCTGGCAGTCAGAGGTCTAGGGACACCCAAAGAACGGGGTTGCAGCCTTGACCCTCTTGGCTAATAATCATTGATGGACCTGTCCTCCATGAACTTATCTAATTCTTTTTTTAACCCAGTTGTACCTTTGGACCCTAGCAATGAATTCCACAGATTGATTGGCACATTGTGTGAAGAAGTACTTTCTTATGGCCAGGATCCCCTGGGGGACTAACTTGAAGGGGAAAGGAGTCCAGGAGAGCTGGCTGTATTTCAAGGAATCCCTGTTGAGGTTACAGGGACAAACCATCCCGATGTGTCGAAAGAATAGTAAATATGGCAGGCGACCAGCTTGGCTTAATGGTGAAATCCTAGCGGATCTTAAACATAAAAAAGAAGCTTACAAGAAGTGGAAGGTTGGACATATGACAAGGGAAGAGTATAAAAATATTGCTCGGGCATGTAGGAATGATATCAGGAGGGCCAAATCGCACCTGGAGCTGCAGCTAGCAAGAGATGTCAAGAGTAACAAGAAGGGTTTCTTCAGGTATGTTGGCAACAAGAAGAAAGCCAAGGAAAGTGTGGGCCCCTTACTGAATGAGGGAGGCAACCTAGTGACAGAGGATGTGGAAAAAGCTAATGTACTCAAAGCTTTTTTTGCCTCTGTCTTCACTAACAAGGTCAGCTCCCAGACTGCTGCGCTGGGCATCACAAAATGGGGAAGAGATGGCCAGCCCTCTGTGGAGATAGAGGTGGTTAGGGACTATTTAGAAAAGCTGGACGTGCACAAGTCCATGGGGCCGGACGAGTTGCATCCGAGAGTGCTGAAGGAATTGGCAGCTGTGATTGCAGAGCCATTGGCCATTATCTTTGAAAACTCGTGGCGAACGGGGGAAGTCCCGGATGACTGGAAAAAGGCTAATGTAGTGCCAATCTTTAAAAAAGGGAAGGAGGAGGATCCTGGGAACTACAGGCCAGTCAGCCTCACTTCAGTCCCTGGAAAAATCATGGAGCAGGTCCTCAAAGAATCAATCCTGAAGCACTTGCATGAGAGGAAAGTGATCAGGAACAGCCAGCATGGATTCACCAAGGGAAGGTCATGCCTGACTAATCTAATCGCCTTTTATGATGAGATTACTGGTTCTGTGGATGAAGGGAAAGCAGTGGATGTATTGTTTCTTGACTTTAGCAAAGCTTTTGACACGGTCTCCCACAGTATTCTTGTCAGCAAGTTAAGGAAGTATGGGCTGGATGAATGCACTATAAGGTGGGTAGAAAGCTGGCTAGATTGTCGGGCTCAACGGATAGTGATCAATGGCTCCATGTCTAGTTGGCAGCCGGTATCAAGTGGAGTGCCCCAAGGGTCGGTCCTGGGGCCGGTTTTGTTCAACATCTTCATAAATGATCTGGAGGATGGTGTGGATTGCACTCTCAGCAAATTTGCGGATGATACTAAACTGGGAGGAGTGGTAGATACGCTGGAGGGGAGGGATAGGATACAGAAGGACCTAGACAAATTGGAGGATTGGGCCAAAAGAAATCTGATGAGGTTCAATAAGGATAAGTGCAGGGTCCTGCACTTAGGACGGAAGAACCCAGTGCACAGCTACAGACTAGGGACCGAATGGCTAGGCAGCAGTTCTGCGGAAAAGGACCTAGGGGTGACAGTGGACGAGAAGCTGGATATGAGTCAGCAGTGTGCCCTTGTTGCCAAGAAGGCCAATGGCATTTTGGGATGTATAAGTAGGGGCATAGCAAGCAGATCGAGGGACGTGATCATTCCCCTCTATTCGACATTGGTGAGGCCTCATCTGGAGTACTGTGTCCAGTTTTGGGCCCCACACTTCAAGAAGGATGTGGATAAATTGGAGAGAGTCCAGCGAAGGGCAACAAAAATGATTAGGGGTCTGGAACACATGACTTATGAGGAGAGGCTGAGGGAGCTGGGATTGTTTAGCCTGCAGAAGAGAAGAATGAGGGGGGATTTGATAGCTGCTTTCAACTACCTGAAAGGGGGTTCCAAAGAGGATGGCTCTAGACTGTTCTCAAATGGTAGCTGATGACAGAACGAGGAGTAATGGTCTCAAGTTGCAGTGGGAGAGGTTTAGATTGGATATTAGGAAAAACTTTTTCACTAAGAGGGTGGTGAAACACTGGAATGCGTTACCTAGGGAGGTGGTAGAATCTCCTTCCTTAGAGGTTTTTAAGGTCAGGCTTGACAAAGCCCTGGCTGGGATGATTTAACTGGGAATTGGTCCTGCTTCAAGCAGGGGGTTGGACTAGATGACCTTCTGGGGTCCCTTCCAACCCTGATATTCTATGATTCTATGTTTGTTCTAAAGCTGCTGCCTATTAATTGTACAGGGAGACCCCTAGTTCTTGTGTTAGTGAAGGAGTAAGTAACACTTCCTTATTCACTTTCTCCACACTACTCATGATGTTTTAGACATCTATCTTGTCCCCCCTTAGACATCTCTGTTCAAAGCCGAACAGCTCCAGTCTGTTTAATCTTTCCTCATATGGAAGCTGTTCCTTGCCTTTAATCATTTTTGTTGCTCTTCTTTGTATCTTTTCAGGTAGGATTAAAACTATACTATTGCCATGATATCTATACTACCTTGTACTGATCTCGCAAACTAAACACAGATGGATTAGGCCAGATTTTGGAATGGAGAGTGACACCTCACTGCTGCAGGAAGCGGTGCTGGCAGTTCACTAGGTGGCACTCTTGTCATTACTGACCCTGTCATGGGGAGCTTCCCTTGAACATGGCCACCTTTGTGGCCCTGCAGGTTCATTGCCTCCAGCACCAACTCAGGTTATTTCAACTAATTACTTAGACTGGGTTATTTCAAAACCAATATCACCGACTTTTTGCTCCTGTTCAGGAGGTCCCAGCCCTCCTCCCAGAGCTGGGCGATATTTCCATCAGTTTCTCTCCTTGAAAGAGCAGCCTTCCATTCTCCTCTTTTGCACTGGGTTATCATTTAGGACAGCTGTAGGGCCTTATCAACTTTCAGCTGGCCCCTTTCCCTAACTAGTCCTCAGGCTCAGAGGGTACAACAGGCAGTGCTCTCCTGCTGTTGTCTGCCCTGTTATCAGGGAAGAGGCAGCATACTAGTCCCCTTCTTCCACCTCATACCCGGTTGGTTGGGTGAGAGGGGAGCCTTGCCCTGGCCACTCTGCAAGGCTCCTGATCCAAGGCCCTTAAAAAAAAAACGTAATAAAATTTCTCCCAAACATTATTTATTCTTGGGACTGCTTCCTTGCCACAAATACCTCTTATTTCTTAGCCTATATCAAAACCTCACAAAATATTGGAAGGGCCATACCATGTGACTGGGGTTGGCTCACAACTAGGCATCACTACCTTTAAGGGGACAGCCTATCATGATGCAGATCCTACTGCCCCAGAAACATCATCCTGCAGACAAGTCTTAAAACTAGGATCCTGACCACATCATCTTTATAAATCTTACAAGGTAAAATCTTTCATTTTCCTAAATGAATACATGAATTTTTAACGCAGATTGAGATTTTCAGAGGAACCTAATGGAGTGGCACCTAACTCCCTTTGGCTTCTCTGAAAAACCTGTTTAGAACATAAGAATGGCCAGACTGGGTCAGACCAAAGGTCCATCTAGCCTGTATCCTATCTTCCAACAGTGGCCAATGCCAGGTACTTCAGAGGGAATGAACAGAACAGGGAATCATCAAGTGATCCATCCCCTGTCACCCATTCCCAGCTTCTGGCAAACAGAGGCTAGGGACACTATCCCTGCCCATCCTGGTTAATAGTCACTGATGGACCTATCCTCCAAGAACTTATCTCGTTCTTGTTTGACCTTGTTATAGTCTTAGCCTTCACAACATCCTCTGGCAAAGAGTTCCACAGGTTGACTGTTTGTAGAGTCCATTGTTACATTGCTTACCCAGCATGCACTAGCATATAAGAAATGAATCTCCAAGCTTCATCCCTCTTGTCAGGCCTATAAATAAAGGGACTGTTCCAGACACCTGTATCCAGCGTGATCCACTGTTTCTGGGGCTTCCAAACAGCATAATAAATGAATACAGCCATCTGGAAACAATGAGAGACTTTAACAACTTCTACAATCATTTGGAATTATGAAATATAAACAATTTTCCTCCAATAATCCCCAAATCCTTGATATATAATTGTCTCATGGCAGATTTCAAACCTTCTATATACAGAAATGCATAATTTCACTAACATACAACTGTGTGTGTAATGGTCAGAACACACTGGAAACAACAAGGGTAGAGATGCAAAAACCAAGCACTCAAATTAAGAAATACCAGATTTAAAGGGGTTCTTGCCACTGTGCACGTTCTTTAATCCCATTGACTTCAATAGATTTTAAGGATATGCCTGAGTATTCCGCTGAATCAGGATCTGAATGACAGAGCAGTACAGTACTGTAGAACAAGAAGTTTGTGTTAATGTAACTAGAAAGTGAAACCTAATCAAAATGCACAAAGGGGCAGAGTTAAGGTTACATAGGCAATCTCAGTCCTAGCATTTCCTAATGTTCAAGTGCCTGGTTTTCCAACTCAAACATTCTTTTCGCACAGGAAACAACATACAAACACTGGACTTTGAAAAAAGAAAATTGAAAAAATGAAGAAATTCCATCATGCATTTGCTAGACCACAGAAGAACAAGAAGTCAGGATTCCTGGTTCTTTTGCAGGCACTGGGTATGCAGGACTTCATAACCAAAAACAACTTGGCCTATACTTTCAGTGAGACAGTTGGATTATGTGGCTGAAACTGGAGCCTGCCACAGAGATCTCTATTTTATCAGCATTTCTGCCAGAAGTGAGCTTGTGAAATGTCTAAGGTCCTTAGTTACTTCACATATACTATGGGGGAATAATACTTGCTAGGGATATGAAGTCTTGCTGGATAAAGATTGAGAAGTGGACAATTATTAACCAATCAGCGGAAGAGGCAAGACTAAAACTCCTGGGCTCATAGCCCGGTCACACCTTCCCTCGGTCAAAGATATTTTGACTGGGGAGGACAGCGAGGTCATCAAAATTGGGAACATAAAAATGGCCATACTGGGTCAGACCAACGGTCCATCTAGCCCAGTATCTTGTCTTCCAAAAATAGCCAATGCCAGGTGCCCCAGGGGGAATGAACAGAGCAGGTAATCACCAAGTGATCCACTCCCTGTCGCCCATTTCCAGCTTCTGGCAAACAGAGGCTAGGAACACCATCCCTGTCCATCTTGGCTAGTAGCTATTGATGGACCTATCCTCCATGAACTTCTCTAGTCCTTTTTTGAAACCTGTTATACTCTTGGCCTTCACAACATCCTCTGGCAAGGAGTTCAACAGGCTGACTGTGCGTTGCGTGAAAAAATACTTCCTTTTGTTTATTTTAAACCTGCTGCCTATTAATATCATTTGGTGACCCGTAGTTCTTGTGTTATGAGAAGGAGTAAATAACACTTCCTTATTTACTTTCTCCACACCAGTCATGATTTTATAGAGCTCCATCATATCCCCCCTTAGTCATCTCTTTTCCAAGGTGAAAAGTCCCAGTCTTGTTAATCTCTCCTCATATGGCAGCCGTTCCATACTCCTAATCATTTTTGTTGCCCTTTTCTGAACCTTTTCCAATTCCAATATATCTTTTTTGAGACGGGGCAATCACATCTGCACACAATATTCAAGAAGTGGGTGTACCATGGATTTATATAGAGGCAATATGATATTTTCTGTCTTATTATCTATCCCGTTCTTAATGATTCCCAACATTCTGTTCACTTTTTTGACTGCTGCTGCACATTGAGTGGATGTTTTCAGAGAACTATCCACAATGACTCCAAGATCTCTTTCTTGAGTGGTGACAGCCAATTTAGACCCCATCATTTTATATGTATAGTTGGGATTATATTTTCCAATGTGCATTATTTTGCATTTATCAACACTGAATTTCATCTACCATTTTGTTGCCTAGTCACCCACTTTGAGAGATCCTTTTGTAGCTCTTCACAGTCTGCCTGGGACTTAACTATCTTGAGCAATTTTGTATCATCTGCAAATTTTGCCACCTCACTGTTTACCCCTTTTTCCAGATCATTTATAAATATATTCAATAGGACTGGGCCCAATACAGACCCCTGGGTGACACCACTATTTACGTCTCTCCAATCTGAAAACTGACCATTTATTCCTGCCCTTTGTTTCCTATCTTTTAACCAGTTACCAATCCATGAGAGGACCTTCCCTCTTATCCCATGATAGCTTACTTTGCTCAAGAGCCTTTGGTGAGGGACCTTGTCAAAGGCTTTCTGAAAATCTAAGTACACTATATCCACTGGATACCCCTTGTCCACATGCTTGTTGACCCATTCAAAGAATTCTAGTAGAGCACATGCAGTTCGGTTTCGGATTTTAGGAAACTTAATCACCAAGTGCAGAACAAGTTCTCCTGCACATGTGCCAGTAGCAACTTTAAGAGGCTCTTAAACTGGCCAAATGAGTGTGGATTTTAATAGGTTTAGGACACCTCTGAACTGTCCCCTGCTAAGTTTCAAGTCAGAAGAAAATATCTGCAAAATAAATAGTTTATTTCTCCACTAAGCTCATTCTCGGAAAAGGCTGATGCTGAACCATTTTTGCTCAAATATTTTAAAAAATTCAACATGAAACAGAAACCAGAGATGGAAGATTTCAGCCTGCATTGTTAAGATTTGCCAGACTTACAAGGAACTGAAAATAGGGTGTTATAGTGGTCAATATGTATAATATGGGCTTCAAATGTGCAATGAATGAGAAAGAAGTTACTAAATGGAAAATAATCAAAAAGTTAAAAATGCTCAATTCAGTATGTTTTATGATCACATGCAAACTCCAGTGCTGAACAACAGACAAGAAGCCTGTGACTCTAAAGTGAAACAACTGCAATGTGTATAATCTAAATCCCATAGTTTGACTATTGTTACTGTAAAATAATAGTGTTCAATGCAAGACAAATGCAAACATTTACGTTACCAGGTAAGAACCCTTACCTCAGCTATACTAATGGAAATGATGAAGAGGGGAGGAGGGATACAGTTTGCTCTTTCCAGGTAGGTTCCTCTGGCATTTTCAGGAAGCATCCATTTGGAAATGGACTCATGAATCTTGTCACAGGTAGTACAAACTCTAGAGTTTCTTTCATTGTTTTCCTTCTCTTCCTCCTCACCAGACATATCCATGTTCATCCTCTCCATCTCCATATTTCTTACTCGGAAAAGGCCAAATACTTAGGAATTTCAAAAACCTGTTCCAGCAAACATACAGGTTACTATTTTACACACAATCAGCACAACATTCAGATGACTGGTAAATTTTACAAGAATAATCTCTTGCATTATGATGACAAATTTACACATCATTTTTCATCCAGAAAGCTTCCCCAAAGCACTTTATAAACTTTACCAGCCACTCCACCTCTTGTCTAACAGCACAAAGCAACACTACACAACACTACACTACACTTGCACCAAGACAATTTCCTGGTGCAAGTGCTAGAGGAGCCAACTGGGGGGGGAGCTTTTCTTGATCTGCTGCTCACAAACCGGGAAGAATTAGTAGGGGAAGCAAAAGTGGATGGGAATCTGGGAGGCAGTGACCATGAGTTGGTTGAGTTCAGGATCCTGACACAGGGAAGAAAGGTAAGCAGCAGGATACGGACCCTGGACTTCAGGAAAGAAGACTTCGACTCCCTCAGGGAACGGATGGGTAGGATCCCCTGGGGGACTAACATGAAGGGGAAAGGAGTCCAGGAGAGCTGGCTGTATTTCAAGGAATCCCTGTTGAGGTTACAGGGACAAACCATCCCGATGTGTCGAAAGAATAGTAAATATGGCAGGCGACCAGCTTGGCTTAACGGTGAAATCCTAGCGGATCTTAAGCATAAAAAAGAAGCTTACAAGAAGTGGAAGGTTTCAGAGTAACAGCCATGTTAGTCTGTATTCGCAAAAAGAAAAGGAGTACTTGTGGCACCTTAGAGACTAACCAATTTATTTGAGCATGAGCTTTCGTGAGCTACAGCTCACTTCATCGGATGCATACCGTGGAAACTGCAGCAGACTTTATATATACACAGAGAATATGAAACAATACCTCCTCCCACCCCACTGTCCTGCTGGTAATAGCTTATCAAAAGTGATCATCAGGTGGGCCATTTCCAGCACAAATCCAGGTTTTCTCACCCTCCACCCCCCCACACAAATTCACTCTCCTGCTGGTGCTAGCCCATCCAAAGTGACAACTCTTTACATAATCAAGTCGGGCTATTTCCTGCACAAATCCAGGTTTTCTCACATCCCCCCCACCCCCATACACACACAAACTCACTCTCCTGCTGGTAATAGCTCATCCAAACTGATCACTCTCCAAGTTTAAATCCAAGTTAAACCAGAACATCTGGGGGGGGGGGGGGGTAGGAAAAAACAAGAGGAAACAGGCTACCTTGCATAATGACTTAGCCACTCCCAGTCTCTATTTAAGCCTAAATTAATAGTATCCAATTTGCAAATGAATTCCAATTCAGCAGTTTCTCGCTGGAGTCTGGATTTGAAGTTTTTTTGTTTTAAGATAGCGACCTTCATGTCTGTGATTGCGTGACCAGAGAGATTGAAGTGTTCTCCAACTGGTTTATGAATGTTATAATTCTTGACATCTGATTTGTGTCTATTTATGGAAGTGGAAGGTTGGACATATGACCAGGGAAGAATATAAAAATATTGCTCGGGCATGTAGGAATGAAATTAGGAGGGCCAAATCGCACCTGGAGCTGCAGCTAGCGAGAGATATTAAGAGTAACAAGAAGGGTTTCTTCAGGTATGTTGGCAACAAGAAGAAAGCCAAGGAAAGTGTGGGCCCCTTAATGAATGAGGGAAGCAACCTAGTGACGGAGGATGTGGAAAAAGCTAATGTACTCAATGATTTTTTTGCCTCTGTCTTCATGAACAAGGTCAGCTCCCAGACTGCTGTGCTGGGCATCACAACATGGGGAATAGATGGCCAGCCCTCTGTGGAGAAAGAGGTGGTTAGGGACTATTTAGAAAAACTGGACGTGCACAAGTCCATGGGGCCGGATGAGTTGCATCCGAGAGTGCTAAAGGAACTGGCGGCTGTGATTGCAGAGCCATTGGCCATTATCTTTGAAAACTCGTGGCGAACGGGGGAAGTCCCGGATGACTGGAAAAAGGCTAATGTAGTGCCAATCTTTAAAAAAGGGAAGGAGGAGGATCCTGGGAACTACAGGCCAGTCAGCCTCACTTCAGTCCCCGGAAAAATCATGGAGCAGGTCCTCAAAGAATCAATCCTGAAGCACTTACACGAGAGGAAAGTGATCAGGAACAGCCAGCATGGATTCACCAAGGGAAGGTCATGCCTGACTAATCTAATCGCCTTTTATGATGAGATTACTGGTTCTGTGGATGAAGGGAAAGCAGTGGATGTATTGTTTCTTGACTTTAGCAAAGCTTTTGACACGGTCTCCCACAGTATTCTTGTCAGCAAGTTAAGGAAGTATGGGCTGGATGAATGCACTATAAGGTGGGTAGAAAGTTGGCTAGATTGTCGGGCTCAACGGGTAGTGATCAATGGCTCCAAGTCTAGTTGGCAGCCGGTGTCAAGTGGAGTGCCCCAGGGGTCGGTCCTGGGGCCGGTTTTGTTCAATATCTTCATAAATGATCTGGAGGATGGTGTGGATTGCACTCTCAGCAAATTTGCGGATGATACTAAACTGGGAGGAGTGGTAGATACGCTGGAGGGCAGGGATAGGATACAGAGGGACCTAGACAAATTGGAGGATTGGGCCAAAAGAAATCTGATGAGGTTCAATAAGGATAAGTGCAGGGTCCTGCACTTAGGACGGAAGAACCCAATGCACAGCTACAGACTAGGGACCGAATGGCTAGGCAGCAGTTCTGCGGAAAAGGACCTAGGGGTGACAGTGGACGAGAAGCTGGATATGAGCCAGCAGTGTGTCCTTGTTGCCAAGAAGGCCAATGGCATTTTGGGATGTATAAGTAGGGGCACAGCGAGCAGATCGAGGGACATGATCGTCCCCCTCTATTCGACATTGGTGAGGCCTCATCTGGAGTACTGTGTCCAGTTTTGGGCCCCACACTTCAAGAAGGATGTGGATAAATTGGAGAGAGTCCAGCGAAGGGCAACAAAAATGATTAGGGGTCTGGAACACATGAGTTATGAGGAGAGGCTGAGGGAACTGGGATTGTTTAGTCTGCAGAAGAGAAGAATGAGGGGGGATTTGATAGCTGCTTGGTAGTTCCAGAGAGGATGGTTCTAGACTATTCTCAGTGGTGGAAGAGGACAGGACAAGGAGTAATGGTCTCAAGTTGCAGTAGGGGAGGTTTAGGTTGGATATTAGGAAAAACTTTTTCACTAGGAGGGTGGTGAAACACTGGAATGCGTTGCCTAGGGAGGTGGTGGAATCTCCTTCCTTAGAAGTTTTTAAGGTCAGGCTTGACAAAGCCCTGGCTGGGATGATTTAATTGGGTATGGGTCCTGCTTTTGAGCAGGGGGTTGGACTAGATGATCTCCTGAGGTCCCTTCCAACCCTGATATTCTATGATTCCATGAATTAAGACAGAACTGAAGACTCTTGCTTCCAGGTAACATTACAGGGGAATGTAAGGTAAGCACAATACAACCTAAAATTGACTTTGGCTAGGACTACGGGGCTAAAAATTCCTTTTTTTGGGGGGGGGGGGAGCGGGGGGACAACCATCATGAACTCTTTAATGACCCATTCAATGACCTCAAACTATAAGCTAAAGCAGCAGCAATTTGCATCCTCTACACCTCTGGAGGCAGTATCACTGACCCCTTCCATTTGGGATTCATAGGGCAAAATGGAAGCAGCTTTATTTATGGCTTCATAGGATATTGCCTGGAAATGCACTGAATCAAGTCTCCCCCCCTGTAGGCTATACCAGCCAGGTCCAGACCACTGCTGGAGTGGGGACTGTAGTCAGCTAGTGTCATTGAATGAAGGTTGTTGGGGTCTCTGGAGTCCCACAACCTAGGTTCTGCCAGTGTAGGTCTGGCCCTTTCTGTTTTTCAGATATACTATGTAGATTTCTTTTCTCTCAGATAGAAATACCAAGATTGATTAGATGGGTACAGCCACCTTGAAATGTAGTCAATTAAAATACACTAACATACTTTCTGGTGCTACACCCATCCTCCAAGTAACTCTGTCAATTTTGTGGTTTTACAGTCACAAAATATTTCTCTCCAGTTGATGTGTGAAAGACACATGAAGGAGAGATGGGGAACAGTAAAAATGATGGTACAAAAGTGCTGTCAGATGCACAATGTAAATGAACTTTAAAAAGGAAATCTCTCTATAATCTTTTAGACAGCCATTTTAAGTGTTACTTGTAACAACAGTAGGTAAAAAAAAACAAAAAACACAAGTTGAGTGTCCCTTTATTTAGTTGTAATTCAGCGTAACTTGCAGACAGAAGCATTTTTTAATATAATTTATCTCAGACGTGCTTCTCAGCTGTCCCTGATTTTGCAAATATTTTTGTCCTGACCTTGATCGAAAAAGAAACCAATCACAAGAAAATAATGTTCCAGAAATAAATTGCTTATCTTTGGGTTTTTTCTATTATTAAAGACAAACACTAGATCGGGGTGGCCAACCTGAGGCTGAGGAGGAGACAGAATTTACCAATGTACATTGCCAAAGAGCCACAGTAATACATCAGCAGCCCCCCATCAGTCCGTTCCCCCCCCTGCTCCCAGCACCTCCCCCCCTGCACCTCCCGATCAGCTGTTTCATGGTGTGCAGGAGGCTCTGTGGGGGGAGGAGCGAGGGCACGGCAGGCTCAGGGGAGGGGGCAGGAAGGGGTGGAGTTGGGGCAGGGCCTGTGGCAGAGCCAGGGGTTGAGCAGTGAGCACCCTCCGCCACATTGGAAAGTTGGTGCCTGTAGCTCCAGCCCCGGAATCTGTGCCTATACAAGGAGCCGCATATTAACTTCTGAAGAGCCGCATGTAGCTCCAGAGCCACAGGTTGGCTACCCCTGCACTAGATCAAAGCACAACAACAGAAACAACAATTACACGCTCTTTACTAGAAAGTCTCTGACCTAGGCCATGTCTACACTACTAATTTTTGTCGACAAAAATCAGAATCTCATGTTCACACTTGCTCCCTTGGTCAGCAGATCGCATCCACAATGGGGGCACCATCATCGACAGTGTGAGCATTGCACTATAAGTACCTGTCCAGCTGCTAAGTTGGAAAATTATATTAGATATCAGAATGTTCCTTCTTTCTCCTAAGGATATAGCTATGAGAGGCTCAGTCTTACCTCTTTTTTAAAAAAAGAACAAAATGGTGCCCCAACAGCAAAGGAATCCCTAGGCAAAGCTGAAATTTTACTTCAGTAGTAACTCCAAGCATTAATGACAACTACTGGCACTAAAAAAAAGCACCCCACTTATTATAGTATCTAGATGATCCTAAGAGAACTTGCTTCAAAGTACTGTCTTTGATCTAGCTTGCGGGATATGAGTGGTAAACAGACTCTAGGCAGAAGGTATTTTTAAATGTGTTCTCAGACATTGGATAGGTCCAACTACCACTGTGATAAAGCAGCTGTCTGTAGTGTAACGCTAATTTAAGAAAATACGATGTCTTTATGGCCAATTTTTGTTTAAATAAAAAACACTTCTCCACCCACTTCTCAATCTCCTTTAATCAAAAAGAGTGTTAGTTTATCTGGGCTGCATTACTGGTTGTTATGGGTTTCTAGTCTAAGTTTTACATGTTCTTTAAATATTGCCAACAGAATGCCTTTGTGGTACTGGCACTGAACAAAAGCAACTGCAGGACCCTAGACCGCTGACAGTTTTTTAAAAATTCTAGCCATTATAATTACAAACCCACTAACTTCATTGAAGAAGCACTCTGTGGCTGTACACGCTGAAAGGATAGACTGGAAACGCTGTGACATGGCTATTTCAGAGGAATGTTCTTCAGCCTCAAGGCACAGCCCTTAGAGCGGCTCTCTGTGCAAGAGCCGTTTTTACAGGGATACTAAAACCCCCAAATGACCGCACTACACTCGTATCTCCCCAGCCAAAGCACTCTGGTGCTTGGCGCTGAACGTAGGAGGCAGAGAGACTGTCCCCGCAACGGCCTGGGCAGCTTTCCCCCATGAAGCGTTTCTGGGGAGTTTTAGGTCAAGAAGCTGAACCAAGCAAAGCTACCGAAGCTGAATTCCAGCCCCGCCTGCGAGGCTCAGCGACACTCAAGGGCTCCCTGTGGGGAGCAAGGCGCCAAGTTACCTCATGGCTCACGGACTGGTCCCGACTTCCAGACAGGACCACCACGGAGACCAAAGCGCTGCCGCCGGCCGGCCGGCGGCCTGGCTCGCCCCCTCCCCGTCACGCCGCCCGGCTGCCCCGGGACCTGGCTCGGCTCCGGCCTACCTGGCGACTCCGAGTTCGGCTCTGCCGCCTCAAATCTCTGCGCCGGCCGCTCCTGCTTCTGCAGAGCGGGATCAGCCCCCGGAGCCGCTCCCCGGCCCGCCCCGGCGGCAGCTCCAGGAGGAGCCGCTCCCCGGCCCGCCCCGGCGGCAGCTCCAGGAGGAGCCTCCCTCAGCCACATTCTCGGGGCGGGCAACCGCCGACACGCCCTCGCAGTGACACGGCCCGGCCGCACGCCCGTCTCTCCAAACTGCATCCTCCGACCCCTCAGCCCAGGGCTGGATCAGTGCCGGGGCTTCAGGGGCTGCAGCCCAAGGCCTTGGGCTGGAGGGACCCGCAGGCCGCATTCGGCCCGCGGCAAGTGTCCGGCTGCGAGCCGCACACCGGTCCCCGAGCCTCAGCTCCCGCCCGGCTGGAGCCGCGAGCGCCTGCTCGCCAACGTGCCCCTGCAGCTCCCAGGCGAGGGGTGTTCAGGGAATCTCTGCACACTGCCCCCAGCGCCGGCTCCGCAGCTCCCATTGGCCGGGTGCTGCAGCCAATGGGAGCTGCGGGGGTGGGGCCTGCTGGCACGGGCAGCGCGCACCGTGCAGACTGCCCTAGCTCCTCTGCCTAGGGGCTGGAGGTGGCGGCCACCTGGGGAAGCAGAGCAGCACAGGAACCAGGGCAGGCAGCGATCCTGCCTTAGCCCTGCTGCACCGCTGACCAGCAGCTGCCCAAGGTACCCGCCTCCCGGGCGAAGCCTGCAGCCCACTCCCCCTCCTCCCCACTCTCCAACCCCCTACCCCAGCCCTGAGCACCCTCCTGCACCCAAACTCCCACCCAGAGCCTGAACCTCCTGCTCACCCCAACCCCCTGTCCCAGCCCTGGCCCCACCCCAGAACCCACCCCCACAGCTAGTGCTACACCCCGCTGCCCTGTATCCCAATCCCCTGCCTGAGCCCACCACCCAACTCCAAACCCCTGGGGGCCCCACAAAATCTAATAGGCCCCAGCCCACAGGAGAGTTGATCCAGCCCTGCCTTGGCCACAGAGCACCAAGAGAGCGGTAGCACTAATTCAAAATTGGGTTGCCAGCTACGTTTTCCCAGTATCATCCCTTTTTTTGAGGTAGCTGTTCTGGGAAATCCAGAGGGGTGCTCAGTACACACTGTTGGCTGTCCAGTTTTATTGGCGCAGGATCATTGCAGAGGTCCTGATTTTTTTGTGCCTCAGAGGTGGCAACTTTAATCCCAAATCTCACCACATCCCTATCTTCCCTGAGCATAGTCCCCCATGAAACTTCTTCAACCCCTCCCCCCATCCCCGCTGAACCATCAATCCCTGCCAGGTCCTTTCATCACCAATCCCTCTATTCCAATAACCCCTTTTCCCCTACCACGGGTACCCACACCCTTATCCTCAATTTCCCCAGGCCCTCCCCATCCCAAACCTCCCATTAACAATTCTCCCCACACTCCAATCCCCCCGCAAATCCCGATCCCGAACCCCTCCCCAGGCCCACTTATCCCTCCTGCTCCGCCCATCTCCACCCACCAGGTCCCCAATCCCCCAGGCACCCCCACACCCTAATCTGCCAAGACCCACCGCCCATTCCCACCAGGAACTCCCATTCCCTAAACCCTTGCATCACATCCTGCTTCCCCTATCAGCCTGGGAATCCCAAATCCCTCACACCTTCCAGGCATCCTTATTCCCCCACCCTTATCTCTCCATCTCCAAACCCCATAGTCAATGCCTCTGAGGATGAGGACCACATTCCCTTCTAGGAGGAGAAATACCAGGGTCCCCACATTAGCCCTTCTACCCCATCTGTATTGCAAAGGAGATGTAGTGTTCTCCAGTCTCCCTCTCTGATCAGCCACTGTAGGGTCTGTGCTGGGGCCCCACTAGGGTTCGCTGTTTCAAAGGCAAGGGTGGTGTGAGGCCAGAAGCAGAAGTTGCTGTGACAGGCTGTGCCCTAAGCAGGTGGCACCACAATTAGAGAAAAGTCAGAGGAGCAGGTAGCACCCATGCCACCAATGGGAGGTGCTGAGGGGGCCCCGGTCTCATGGGAGAGATGTGCTGTGTTTGCCACAGCAGCTCTCAGTACATCACTCGAATTGTTGTTAGGATCACCATACGTCTCATTTTGGCTGGGACAGTCCCCTTTTTTAATCTCTGTCCCTGTTGTCCCAACTTTTTTTTGCAAAAATGGGCATTTGTCATCAGTTGGCAAGAGCAAACAGGACAAATGGGGTGCAGTGTGAAGGAACATATGTGGGGGCGAGTGGAGATGCCAGCCCCATGGAGGCAGGGCTGGGGGACAGAGACAGCATTCCAGCATGTAGGGGGCAGGCAGGGTTCCAGCGACCAGCAACAGCCTCACATGGGGGTGGGGAGCAGGCAGGGTTCCAGAGACCAGCAACAGCCTCGTGAGGGGGTGCTCTGGTGAATAGCTGGGGGTGTCCCATTTTCCTTTTGGGAAATATGGTCACCCATCTCCAGCTGGCCACAATGCAGCAGAGAATCTCTTACCCCTAATCCTCCTGAACCACCCACCACCCACGCCCCAATCCGCTGCAAATTGAAAAGCTGGGGCAATTTGCACTCAATGTTCGCTCCAAGTCTTTATTAATATAAGAACAATGGCAACTTATAGCTGTTGTTTCCAGTAGGACACTATTAAAATGAGTACTGGGATCTGGTCGTAAATATCGGAGTGCGAAGTCCTGGTGACGGTAATGTATTCTCTTCCTCTATGCACCATCAATGTGTTCCGAAGATGGTTCGAGATACACTTTAGGCTGTCGGTCGGTGTGCAGCGCAAGCGTCGTTAAAGTTTTTTGTCATCGTAGGTTCCATGCAAAGACGGGGTCCAATTTGGCAAAGAACCAGCGAAGTTGAAGTATGACCGTGGGGGACTCGTTTCCCAAAATGGAAGTGGATTCAATGTCAGGTTCGCAAGTTAAGTATGGTTATGGATCACAGTATTTTCGTCGGCCCGTTCTATGTTACGGTTAGGATTGGTTAGGGTTAGGGTTTGGGTTTAGGGGTTTGGGTATAGGGGTGTGGTTAGGGATTAGGTTTAGGGTCAGGGGTCAAGGTTGGGTTAGGGGTAGGGTTAGGAGTTACAGTTATTGGGTTTGAGGTTAGTGTTACTGGGTTAGGGCTAGGGCTTAGGGTTAGGAGGAGGGCTGTGGTTAGGGTAAGGGGTTAGGGTAGGCATAAGGTTAGGGTAAGGGGGTAGGGGTGGGGTAGGGTTAGGGGTTTATGGTAAGGGGTAGGGGTAGGGTTTAGGGTTAGGCGTTAGGCGTTAGGGCTTAGGGTTAGGG